ATTGTAAGGATGACAAAAATATCTTCTCTCCAAAATTATTTTTATGAGTGTTAAAATAAAAATTATATTTATTTTTGGAGTCAGTTCAAAAATCTTTTTAACTGTTCAAAATAGTTTTATTGAGTCAGTTACAAAAGGTGTGCCAAACATTTATCAAATATTTATTTTGATATTATAAAATATTTTTGGTAAGCAAAAATATTTTATTCAAATATTTTTCGTGTACATCGTTTGACACACAAAATATTTTTGGAACTCATTTTCTACACCAAAAATATTTTTTTTTATAATTCAAATTTTGAATTTGAATTATGTAGGATGATTGGGGAGCCTTTTGATATGATTTCCTTGTCCAAAACAAAGCATTTAACTCCAAACATCCATCCCACTCGCACACATGCTTTGGGTCCTCGTGTTTGGGCTCTGTCCGTCAGTGGATCGATCCTTCCTTGTGGATCGATCACTTCGTTTTGTGCTCAGGGATTTGGATCGATCCATGTCCTTGGATCGATCCGCCGAAGCCGTGCAAAATTTCTCTTCCAGAATTCTTGACTCCTTTGGATCGATCCCCTGCCTTGGATCGATTCCCCGAAGGCTTACGAAAATCCATCTCTTGGTTTTTGGTTCCAGAGGATCGATCCCCAGCCTTGGATCGATCCCCCGTAGCTTTGACAGAAATTTATTCTCGTTGGCTTACTCCAGGTGATCGATCCTAAGCCCTGGATCGATCCCCAACGGTCCAATTCTGTCAAAATCAGCCTTCCCCACTTCCAACGGATTTATTTCTTTTTCATCTATTTAAACACTCTTTCTTGGTCATTTTTAAGAATAAGAAACACTCCAATACTCCCCATTCTTGAGGTTTTAATCCTCCATCAATCATTCCTCAAATTTATATTATTTTAGAGAAAATTATATTTGTTTTCAAGAGAGGTTTCTTGTCATCCATTAGAGCTTTAATCATTTCTCATTTCTACTCTTTTGAGAGCTATTGTTGAGAGGTTGAAGAAGATTGTTCTTCTTGTTGTTCAAGGCTTATGTGATTTAAGTCTTGGTTGTGAAGTCTTGTAGAGGGCATATCTACGAGCGGTTGTGTCGAGGCTTGTGGGATTCAAGTTCTCGAGTTGTAAACGGTTTGTTAAGCACCCGTAAGCTTAACGGAAGTAGTGGTAGCTTCGAGAGAGTCTCTCGGGGAACTGGACTAGCCACGAGGTGGTGAACCAGTATACATCGGTGTGTTCTTTGCCTTCTCTATTTTATTTCCGCTGCACTTACGTTTATTTTTTAATCCTGCGAAAATTGGTAAACATTCTCAACAACTCTATTCACCCCCCCCTCTAGAGTTGCACGCCTTGTCTAACAAGATGTCCACGTACTCACCTTGAATTCGACGATTAAACTACGAGATAGTACTTACGGACAACGGTGTTGAGCTCTTCCTCTTCATCCTCTTCTTCCCTTCTTCTCCTTCGTGCGTCGCTGCTGCCTCGGTCGAGAGAAACGAGAGACGTGAGAGAGTGGGGAGGAAGTTACGTAAATATGGTGAGGCGTAGGGGTTTGGGGCGTGTAGGGAGTATATTTATACTTTTGGGGTTTTGGGCTCCGTACTAACTAAACATACCTGGCCCAAACACACTTTCCAGACCCACTGACTCCAAATTCGAATCCGATTTCACCGTTATATTCGGCCCGTCGAACCCTACACAACGGTATAATCTTTATTATTAAACGAAAGGTATATATAATTTTCCACCAAGTCCGTCTCAGTAATTAATTAATTATTCCCAATTAATTAATTTTGATAGGCCGGGTTTTGGGGCGTTACATCTTCCACGCCTTTTAACCATATTCACTGCTTCCCAACGATCCCTTCCCCTTTACTATAAATGGGGAAAGATGGGTTTTTGCTGGCTCATTCTTTTCTGACCTCTTTAGCATGACAGACAAAGCCTAGGGTAAGGTTTTCATTGACCTAACCTTTTCTTGAACCTCTTCATCTTCAGATGACGATCTTCCCGCCTCTCCCGCCCAGTCCAATGACATGGCTGGGCTGAGTCCCGGCAAATTCTCAAGACTCTATCCACCACCCCGTCTCCCTGCGCCTTCACCTCCTAGTCCACCCAGGCTCTCGTCCGGGAGGATAGACTGGGACTCCATGACTCTCCAAGACTTCGCCTTGTACCAGAGGATGCGCAGGGCTAGACTTGGGTGTTCTTTCCAGGCCGTAGAGGCAGAACTTTCGCGTGAAAGCTGGACAGCTTCTCCAAACCTGCCAAGGTCTCCTAGTGACGGTTCACCACCTGCACCACCTGCACCCCGACTTGGGACGTGGGAAGACTATGACATGGGCGAGGCTGACGATTCCGCCACGTATCCTCCGTCAGAGAGAAGGAGCCCGTGGAGAGGGCCCCCTCCTCCTTCCAGCTGACTGCATGGATGCAATTGGCCCTCCTTCAGCGCCTAGCCCCCTGCAGATCAGTTTTTTCTTTTCTTTTCTTGTTTTATCTCAAGAGACATTCACTTGTTTGGTTCGGGAGTTACCCCCGCGTCCTGTGCTAAGGAATGTCCTTTAATTTCAGATTAGGAATAATCGTTGCAATTCAAAGATATAACCTTCGAATTAGTAATCGATGAACTTCCTTATTCCCTTATTTCTTTCATCTCATTGGGAACCATTATTGTGAACCAAAGATGTAGCCTTTGACCCATCAATATAGCTCCTTGTGTTTATTTGTTTGCACATCATCATATGCAAGTACAAATGCTTTTACCTTGCGTAAAATCTCATCTCCCGGGGTTTGGATGTGTCGTGGGAGCTTACCTCATCTGCCCCTAACCTCCGTTCCTCCGGGTTAAGGCATAATCTTATCTACAGATCAATTGAGCACCAACCCTCGAAGTTTGTTTGCTCGGTTGATCCGTGCTGGTGGAATACTAAGCTTCAGCCCTCGAAGTCTGCTTGCTGTTCTTCCTGAATTCCGGGTTGTAAAGGCCCTCGAAGTCCGATCCCAACCCTTCCTTCATATTTCACGGAGGCATAAACTTATCTACCTCCGGGGGGCATAAACTTATCTACCTCCCCTATCTTTAGTAGGTGGCATAAACTTTTCTACCTCCCTGTAAACTTTTTGGCCAACTTTCCGCCCTTAGTCTGTTGACTCTTTTCTCGCTTTCTTAGGACGTAATCCCCCACCTGGAACGCCCTCGGTTTCACCCTACTTTCAAAGTAAGATTTCACCTGGCGACGGTATTTCTCTGCCCGGATTCGCGCTTTATCCCTTCTTTCATTTAAGAAATTAAGCTCAACGGCTTGATTCTGTTCGTTCACTTCCCGGTCATATGTCATTTCCCTCCTGGTTGGGATCACCGTCTCAGCTGGTGCCCGGGCTTCAAACCCATAAGCCAGGCCAAAAGGAGTGTCACCCGTGGCCCTTCTTGGAGTGGTCCTGTATGTCCATAGGACTCTGGGTAGTTCATCCACCCATTTGCTTCTTTCCGACAGCAACTTCTTTTTTATCCCGCTTATAATCGTCCTGTTGACGTTCTCCACCTGACCGTTAGCCTGGGGATAGGCTACAGATACCTTCGTATGCTGAATTCCCCAGGTTTTGAGGAAGTCTTGGAACTCCGCTTCTTCAAACTGAGTTCCGTTGTCGGATATGATCTGCTTCGGGACCCCAAACCTACAAAGTATATTGGTTCCCACGAAGTCAATCATTTGCTTCCCTGTGATCCCAGCAAGTGGCTCAGCCTCTACCCATTTGGTGAAATAGTCTATGGCCACCACTATCCACCTTGCCTGTCCAATTCCTTTCGGCAGGGCACCCACGATATCGATCCCCCACCTGGAGAAAGGGATCACTGAACTAATGGGCGTGTAATTTGTGGCTGGCCTTCCAGGTATATTCTGAAAATGTTGACAAGTTGGACACTTGCGCACATACTCTTCACAATCCTTCCTCATCGTTGGCTAGAAATATCCCTGGATTATCGCCCTTCTGGAGATAGAGTATGGGCCCTGATGTGTCGCACATACTCCCTCATGTATCTCTTTCATAAGCGCTTTTGCTTCTGCCGCTCTAAGACAGCGGAGTAAAACACCATTATAGGACCTCTTATAAAGGATTCCCTCCATCACTTTGTAGGTGGGTGCTCTCATTCGCAACAACCGAGCTTCTTGGGGGTCTTCGGGGGCCACCCCGTCCTCAATGTATCTAGCCAACCTGTCCAACCACTTCGGGGGGTCGGCTGATACCCAAAGCACTTCACAAATGTTGAGACTCGGGGTTGCCAACACCTCCACAGTTGCTAACTTGCTTATATATTCTGGCGATTCAGCGCTAAGCTTGGACAAAACATCAGCTTCCGCATTGTATGCTCTGGGTATGTGCTCCAGCTTATACTCGAATTTTCCCAACACTTCCAAAGACAAGTCCCGATATCTCTTCATCCTCTCTTCCTTTGCTTCGAACTCCCCACTGATTTGTCCCACAACCAAACGGGAGTCGCTGTATACCTGGACCCTGGACGCCCCCAGCTTGCCAAGAATCTTCAGTCCATTAATTAGGGCCTCATATTCGGCTTCATTGTTGGACACGCGGAACTGAAATCTGATAGCGTAATATATCCGGAAATTTTCCGGAGTGATCAAGACAATACCTGCTCCACAGGATCGGGACCCGGAAGATCTGTCGATGCTCATCACCCACCAGTCGTCTTCTACTCGGGTGTCAACCCGGGCTCTTGTCATCTCCCTGGCCGTGCACTCAACCTGAAAGTCGGCGAGTGTCTGCCCTTTGATTGATGGACGCGGCCTGAACTCCACATTGTACTGACTGATGAATACCGCCCACTTGGTCATTCGGGCGGATTCCGCTGGGCTTCGCGTAAGTGATGCCAAGGGCTCATTGGTGAGTACCACAATCCGGTGAGCTTGAAAGTACGGGGTTAATCTCTTCGCCGTCCAGAAGACCGCTAACATGGCTTTTTCTGGGTGGGAATACCTCAGCTCTGCATCTCTCAAGGTCTTACTGACATAATAGACCGGATGCTGGGCCCCGTTCTCATCTCTTACAATCACAGTAACTGATAGCGCAGTCTGCAATTGCTAAGTATAACGTCAAGACATCCCCGGGTTCCGGCTTGGATAAAATCGGAGGACTTTCCAGATATCTCTTCAATTCCTCGAATGCCACTTGAAATTCTTGCGTCCACTCAAAGGTCGTCCTCTTCTTGATTACAGTAAAGAACGGGTGCGCCTTCTCTACCAACTTTGAAAGGAAACGATTCAAGGCCGCCAATCTTCCCGTCATCCGCTGGACCTCTTTCGCTGTCTTCGATGGTTCCATCTCCATGATGGCTCTTACTTTCTCTGGGTTAGCCTCAATCCCTCTTTGGCTAACCATGTGCCCCAGGAATTTTCCACCCTGGACAGCAAAAGTACACTTCTTCGGATGCAATCTTAAGTTTACCTTCATCATGATTTCAAAGACCTCCTCAAGGTCCCGGACGTGGTCTTGGGCCTCTCTGGACTTGACAATCATATCATCAACGTAGGCTTCCATGGTTCGTCCCAAGACGGCTCTAAACACTTGAGAAACCATCCGGGTGTATGTCGCCCCGGAATTTCTCAGTCCGAATGCCATCACCAAGTAACAATACAGGCCCTCAGGAGTCATAAAACTTGTCTTCTCAACATCAGCCAGGTGCATTCGAATCTGATGGTAGCCACTGAAGGCGTCCATGAAACTCATCAATTCTGATCCGGCAGTCTCATCCACCATCTGGTCAATATTGGGGAGAGGAAATAGATCCATCGGACATGCTTTGTTCAAATCCGTGTAGTCGACGCACATTCTCCACGAAGGAGGCTTAGGCGCCAAGACTACATTTGCCAACCAATCCGGGTAATGCACCTCCCGGATGTGTCCAATACTCTGCAAGGTTGTCACCTCCTTCTTCACGAAGTCTCTCCTTTCTTGCGACAGATGCCTCCGCTTCTGCTTCACCGGTTTAGCATCCTGCAAAACATTGAGATGATGAACTGCAATCTTGTGATCCAACCCCGGCATATCAGCTGGACTCCATGAAAAGACCTTCCTGAATCTCCTAAGAACAGAGATTACTCGTGATCTGAGTTCAGCCCCCAGGCCTTTTCCAATTATAACCAACCTTCCCGGCATGCTTGGCTCCAGTTCCACTTGTGATCCAACCCCGGCATATCAGCTGGGACGTCTTTCTTCAGCTATTAAGAGCTGTGCGGTCACCTCCCCCACCTGGGTGTCGTATTTGATAGGTTGTTTAGTTGCCTTCAAATACCACGCTCGGGATACCCTCTGGGATCCCCTGGCGACTCCAATTCCACGAGGGGTTGGGAACTTTATGCATAGGTAACGAGGTGAGATGACACACTCCAAATCTTCTAATCTGGGTCTTCCCAGAATCACATTGGTGTTGGAGACTATTCCCACTACAACGAACTCCATGTCCAATTTCCGGGTGGCCTTAGTATCTCCTACCTCGACCGGCAGGGTTATCACCCCCTCCGGTTCAATAGAGTGGCCCGTAAACCCGGTCAGAGGAGTCTTAATGGGCAATAACTCATGTCTCATCAAACCAAGAGCCTTGTAAGTATCCATGTACATGACGTTAACGGAACTTCCCGTATCCACCAAAGTCTTGTGGATCAGCAAGTCCATTATATCGATCGTAATCACTAGAGCGTCCCTATGGGGGACCCCCATTTCTGGCAAATCAGCATTAGAAAATACAATCGGCTCAGTTTTTAGCTTCTTACCTTCCGGTTGGGCGGGGGCCGCCACCTTATTGACCATCGCCGCACTAGCCCACATTTTTCGAGTTGTGGCCGAATCTCCACCAATGTTTCCACCAATGATGTAATTACACCCATGGTGCCTCTTCTGTCGGTGTGGAGCGGGTTCTGAATCTTCCTCTTCATCTTCAAGTCCGATGTGGCGTTTCTCCTGGGGCCACCTGCCCTTTTCTACGCTTCCCATTCTGAGCGTTCCCGGGATTTCCCCCTTCCTCATCTTGTACAAACTTCTTCAGATGGACCCGGCGGATTAACCTGGCCATCTCATTCTTCAAGGTATAAGAGTCTTTCGTGTTGTGATCATTCTTGCGATGGTAAGCGCACCATTTCCCAGTTTCCTCCACATTGCAGACCTTCTGGGAATAGGTTGGATATGTCATTAGTCCCTGCTGTGCAGTGTGGGCCATGACCACAGCCACCGGTAATGTAAACACTGGATTAGCAGATTTGTGCTTCTCCGAGGTCCCAGGGTTCGTGCCCTTCGGGCCATCTGGGAAGCCCTGCTTCTTGTTCTTGAAGGGCTTCTTGTTTCCCGCCTTCTCTTCTTCCTTGGGAGTCTTCTCTTTCTTCTCCTCCTTCTTCTCCTCCAGGGTCACATACCTTCCGGCCCGAACCATTGATTCCTCAAAGGTATCTGGGGGATGAGTTGTGAGATCGGTATGAAGGAGACCATCTTGCAGTTCCGCCGTGAACATGGCTAACCTAGATTTATCGTCGATTCCTTCAACCTCCATGGATTCTGTTCTCCATCTGACGAGGAAGTTCTTCAAGGACTCCCCGTGCTTCTGCCGTACTGAGGCCAAGTGGGTAAAATGCTTTTTGGGACGGCAGTTCCCTGCAAAATGCTCTAGGAACCGCAATCCCAACTCATCCCAAGTCCGGATTGATCCGGCTAGAATGTGATTCACCCAATCCGCAACCTTGCTATCGACCGTCTGCAAGAAACATCTGCACATCAACGCATCACTGGTATCAACGGCGATCATCACCTGGACATAGCTATTTATGTGTTCTTGGGGATCCGATTCTCCATCATAACGCTTGACAAACGGCACTTTGAACCCCTGAGGATACGGTTCTGCAAAGATCTCAGGGGCGAGCAGAGTATTCGTCCGGGTAGTGAACACTCGTCCCCTGTTTATCTTCCTCTGCATCTCCTGGATCTGTTGTCTCAGATCCTGGAACTCGCCAGCTTCCGGCACTTGTGGTCCCAGACGCTGCGCCGCCGGGACCCTGGCTTGACTCTGAACTTCCTCCTCGTCCAAGACCACTAATGGCCGCATTGGCGCTTGGCTCCCACCCCGGCCGGTTTGCTACCGGGGTTCATGGTTAGAGGATGCCACTTGGCTAGCCTGGGGTCGTACCCAGCCCTGGGGTGCCTTGTCCGGATTCTTCCCCAGCCTCTCACTAACGTGAGCCCTCTGGTGAGATATCCTTTCAAAAACTGTTCCCCGCGGGTTTCCGTTTCCGTTGCCTACGACTTGACTCACGGCCCTGGTTCAATCCCCATTCGCCCTGTTATTCCGGGCCAACTCCTCCGCCCGGCGCCTAGCGATAGCCTGTCTCTCCCTCTCGACCTCCTCCGGATCGTGAAGCTCCTGGAGGATGGGAGAACTGGCAGTATGCAGAACCTGACGGGGCTGCCCGGAAGGGACATTCTGGGTACCAGATGGACAAGGTAGAGCCCGATCTAAGCGCTCCATAATGTTGGCCATCATGTTCGCCACATTATTCAACGCTGTTTCCACTGACTGGAACAACCATGCCTTGTTCAGGCTGGTCGCTCCTCACCGTCGACTGGGCGGAAGCGGCGGTGTTACGTCTCATCCTTCGTCCGGCCATAATCTCACAATTTCGTCTCACAGTTATCTCTCAATGGAAGCACCAATGATGGGATTAACCCGATCAGATGGTGGACCAAGAACGGAATAAGAATAAGGAAAATATAATCTCGTAATAATATTCTTAATTGGGTGTGTAATCAACTGTTTTCTCCCTTTACAATGGCGGGTTCTCCCTCCTTTTATAGTACTTCTAGTTTCTAAGTCTAGATTACAACATTATGGAAGGTTTATGGGGATCATGGGGTCGTGATTCCCTTCCTTTCTGGTCTTGATTTCATTCCATTTCCCACGATTTGGAGCGTGGTCCACGTGTCATGTTCCTTCCTTGGACTGGATCGCCTCAACTCAGCCCATGAGTGGGCCGTCCCACCTCGTTGCCCACGTGCGCCTTATTGGGCCTGATCCGTCACGCACACCCGGACTCATTTACCTTGCATGATTGTGGGCCTTTATCGGGCTTAGAGTCGGGTTCTTCAGACCCGATATCCATCAAGTCAAGATTCGTATTCGAATTCGATATCCGACAAAACTAAACGGATACGGATTTGGTAATGGCACATCCAATCCGATTAATATCTGTTTACACCCCTACCGACATTGTATCTAGTAATCACTACAAGAAATTCGCTGATTTGCGACGGATATATTCCGTTGCAAACGCCCAATTTTTCTCGCAACCACAGTTTGCGACGGGGTTTGCGACGAATTACGATCTGTCGCATCTTTTTGGCCGCAAAAGCAATTGCGACGATGACGTCGCAAACATCCGACGGACCTTGCGACGGACACGTTCCGTTGTCTAATATGCGACGGATTTTGCAACGTCTATCTAATCCTTCTGCATAGTAAACTGCGACGAACTCTGCGACGGACTGTGCGACAGCATTTTAATTGGCGAATAAAAATGGACTATCTGCGACGGACGAATTCCGTCGCAGATTCCGTCGCAGATAATGCAGATTCTGCAAAATATATAGCATTTTCAGCACAGAAACCAACCAGAAAAAGCACATAAATCCCAAAAAACAAGCAAAAAAATACAAAAATTCACCTAAGGGAAATTTCAAACAAAGTAAATGTTGATAATAATATTAAACTAGTCTCCAATCCACAAAAAATTGTATGATGCCTCAAAGCCTCTAAACATCAAGTATGCATACTTAAATAAACCTGACAATGTTAAAGAATACTAATTCAAGGTATTGTAATGTTCACACACAACCCGTGGCACCACCTCCACCACTACCATCTTCGTTATCAAAACGGCCATCACCATGACGGTCGCGCTGCGTTTGAAGTTCCTCTTATATTGTCTTGTCTCTTGCTTCTACCAACACTTTTAATTCTAACAATTCCTTGTGCAATGTAACAACTTCATTGTGTCATGCCCATCAGCTGCGACGTAGAATAGCTCTCTTGGCGCAACTTCAATCCTCTCACGAATAGCTTTCTCTCTCAAACTATGGTAGCTTTCCTGCAAAATTTATGGATAACAAAAAACTCATAAGTACTTGTACATATAAATTAGTACATATAACAACCAATACGATTACAAAGTTTATGACTTACTTCCACTTTCGATGCCTTTTCAGTGATCCACGCCTTTTTGTCATGTTTCTTGGTGTGAGGGTACGTGTACGAGACAAAGGTTGAATGTAGGGTTCAATCACATCTATCATGTAGTACAAAAAGAGCAAAACAAACTTTTTGAGAATTAAGAATGATTCATTCTGCATCACATGATTATAGAACTCTAGAGGATAAGTGCACAACATATTATTAAAGACCCATTTCCAACATAATCATAGTTGCACCTCACCTTGATTCTTCGGTTAGAATTCGGATCCAATGTCTTTTATCATAATTATAGTTGCACCTCACCTTGATTCTTCAGTTAGAATTCGGATCCAATATCTCTTATCATAATCATAGTTGCACCTCACCTTGATTCTTCGGTTAGAATTTGGCTCCAATGTCTCTTATCATCAATGCCCGTTATGGACTGTCTATGTGAAGCCACCAAAAGACAAGCCTTCCCTTTGTTCTTATCAAACCAAACTTTCTGCAGAATATTTTAAATTTTTATCACCAGAGATAATTATGAATCAATCAAAGCACAAGATGTGCTAACATATCTAAAACACCCAAAGTGTAAAATCTCCTTGAAGGGAATCGAAATAAAGACATCTACATATCATGAAGTTCCATAGAATGAGTCATGATATAAAGATCTATCATACATTTCATCATCATACATCAAATTGAAACTTTCTATCTCATTGGCTTCAAGATAAAATCATCTACCATCATATCAGATGAAATCAAGAAACCTTATACGGAGTATAATAAAAGATCTTTCAGACAAGGCAAGCTTTAAAAAAATCTCTAGCCCTAATTTCTCCTTGGCTCTCACATAAATTCAAGAACTATTACACCGTCACGAGAAACATTTCAACAATAAGCATATATGAAGTTCAAAGCGTAGAGGGAAAACATAGAGGATCTGACCTTTGAGCCGCCATCAATGGAATTTGTTCCCATCCATGCATATTCGCCTTAACATAAATATTTAAATATAAAGACAAATCAACAACGAAGAATGATTTTAATCAAACTAAAACTAACACTCATTGAGTACATACAATATTTTAAACATAAACACAAGAAATTATTTTGAACATAAACACAAACCACAAACCCGAAATGCCACCCCCA